GTTGGCACCAAGCTTGTTCTCAAGCCGGTCTTATATATATATATATATATATATATATATACCAACCCCATGAAATTGAGCACATTTCTACTTCGGCCATTTCTAAACAGGGGCCGTAACTTGGACCCATGCCACCACTAAATCAATGGACTACGACAATCCGACCAGTGGATCCCTTGAATTACTAAGAACAAATATATACCAAGCATTTGAAATCGAAGCCAATGTTTCGTTAAACTTACCTTCACTGTAGGTTCGTCCAAAGTGGGTACTGAATCCAGATTGGAAAATTCGAACTGTTTTCGGGCTTTAAACAATTTGGACTTGAGCTTCAAATGATTATGCACAGCCAAGTGGATCACCTTGTCAAATAGGAACACCGCCTCTGCTACCTCTCGCATGGATATTACAGGTGCACCTGGCAGTAGATGATTGCGCCAACTGGCTAACTCAGCGCATTCCCATCCTCGATACTTTTTGCACAAATCTCCAGCTGATGTGGCTGTGGGCACTTCGAGTAGTCGAGCCATGTGGAACAACGGTTGATCCACTTGACGATTAGAACATCCGATCAGATAGTTAGCTCCCAGGTCTACATCAACTGNACCTGGAATAGTGGTCGGTGTAGCTGGGGACGCCGTGCCACTGGTAGTAATGGAGGAATCCATGGGAGTGGTCATTGCAGTACCCGAATCGGTGGATTCGGACGGATTATTGAGGTCTGAATTTAACTGAGACTGGGATACAATCCCGTCAGAGAAATGAAACACGCTGAGCCGATCATGACTTATATCGGACATTGATCCATCTGAACCAAGGGGTGCATAAAGATGAGCAAATGAATAACCAATTTATTGAACCTGTGACCAATGCATAACTTCTAACATACGCATTGAACTTCAAAATAATCGGAGGTAAAAGATATGGCCAAGACTGAATATATATATATATATATATACATTATATCAATGACAATCCCCGGAAGTACACGACCGATTTAGCGGTTCTTGCTGCTTGTCAGGATGCGTATCGGGTAGTCTCTTGTCTTCTCATTCATACACTTGTACCCAGGAAATGTCTTCGTCACAATAACCGCACTTGAAAAAACCAGGTAAATTCGATTGAACAGCTCTTGCAGACCCAGCCCATTGAAGAATCAATACCATGATCCAATGTTTTGCAGGTGGGTTAGATGATACTAACCGCAAAAAACATCTTTGGAGTTCAATGTAAATGTAAGGTCATTCTTATGTTACTAATTGTAAAATATCCAATAAAGATACTTCGGTCAAGTTTTGGGGGGTCCAGTTCAATTCAGTGCTTACAACCATTAGCCATGCACTTTCGTGCGCCGGTTTTGGTTGCTATCTTTTGGCGCCCCATTTTGG